TTTGTGAGTGTAGACTCATCAATGGGAGGTGTGAGTGTAGACTCATCAATGAGAGGTGTGAGTGTAGACTCATCAATGAGAGGTGTGAGTGTAGACTCATCAATGAGAGGTGTGAGTGTACAATACTCATCAATAAGAGGTGTGAATGTAGACTCATCAGTGAGAGGTGTGGGTGTAGACTCATCAATGAGAGGTGTGAGTGTACAATACTCACCAATGAGAGGTGTGAGTGTAGACTCATCAATGAGGGGTGTGAGTGTAGACTCATCAGTGAGAGGTGTGAGTGTACAATACTCACCAATGAGAGGTGTGAGTGTAGACTCATCAATGAGGGTGTGAGTGTAGACTCATCAGTGAGAGGTGTGAGTGTAGACTCATCAATGAGAGGTGTGAGTGTACAATACTCACCAATGAGAGGTGTGAGTGTAGACTCATCAATGAGAGGTGTGAGTGTAGACTCATCAATGAGAGGTGTGAGTGTACAATACTCACCAATGAGAGGTGTGAGTGTAGACTCATCAATGAGGGGTGTGAGGTGTAGACTCATCAGTGAGAGGTGTGAGTGTAGACTCATCAATGAGAGGTGTGAATGTAGACTCTTCAGTGAGAGGTGTGAGCGTAGACTCATCAATGAGAGGTGTGAGTGTAGACTCATCAATGAGAGGTGTGAGTGTACAATACTCACCAATGAGAGGTGTGAGTGTAGACTCATCAATGAGGGGTGTGAGTGTAGACTCATCAGTGAGAGGTGTGAGTGTAGACTCATCAATGAGAGGTGTGAATGTAGACTCTTCAGTGAGAGGTGTGAGCGTAGACTCATCAATGAGAGGTGTGAGTGTAGACTCATCAATGAGAGGTGTGAGTGTACAATACTCACCAATGAGAGGTGTGAGTATAGACTCATCAATGAGAGGTGTGAGTGTAAGACTCATCAATGAGAGGTGTGAGTGTAAACTCATCAATGAGAGATGTGAGTGTAAGACTCATGAATGAGAGGTGTAAGTGTAGACTCATCAATGAGAGGTGTGAGTGTAGACTCATCAATGAGAGGTGTGAGTGTAAGACTCATCAATGAGAGGTGTGAGTGTAAACTCATCAATGAGAGATGTGAGTGTAAGACTCATGAATGAGAGGTGTAAGTGTAGACTCATCAATGAGAGGTGTGAGTGTAAGACTCATCAATGAGAGGTGTGAGTGTAGACTCATCAATGAGAGGTGTGAGTGTAGACTCATCAATAAGAGGTGTAAGTGTAAGACTCATCAATGAGAAGCATGAGTTTACAATACTCACCAATGAGAGGTGTGAGGGTAGAGGTGAATATAGAGGAGGACTGAACAATGAAGGTAGTAACAGCGCCCACCAGGATAGCAATGTAGCCAGTCAGCCAGGGGAAGTAGGGAATGTTAGCGTTGATGGTCTTCTTGATGATCGTTGCCATCTTTCCTGCATTAACAAGAAGAAAAACAATGACATACAGAGAATGAAACAAAAATCGCAGTAATGTGGCTGCAACAATTCACATATAACTGGTAAAAACGGAACGGGTGGGGTTAAAAACCATGGCAAGTGAGTCGTGAAACTTCAGGTCAGTGCGTTAACCACTGGGCCAGCTGGCTATAATAGAAGTTATCCAACTATGTATATTTATACACCACAGGAAGGTGAGCATAGGCCACCACTGTGACCACAAATGCAAGTTTTTACAGATGAATCTCCCGCCAGCGTGGCTGTGGTCGTGGTTTGTTCGCAGTCGTCTTATGATTTCGCTAGTTATGATGATTGCTTTGAGGGGACATGAGCTAGAGTTCGTCACGCCCAAGCTGGCGCGAGATTTATCTGTAAAAGCTTGTATCTGTGGTCACAGTGGTGTCTATGCTAACCTTCCTATTGTGAATAAATATATCTAGTTGGATGAATCTTACTGTAGCCAGCTGGCCCAGTTGCTTACGCACTGGCCTGGAGTTTTACGACTCACTTACCATGGGTTCTAACCCCACCTGTACCCTGGTTTGTTAATAAGTTTCCTCTAATAAATGCGGGTTATATGTTAATACATACAAATAAAACTCAACTCTGAAGATATGCTTCACACTCGGGCAAAAATAATATCACCTCTGTGATATGTCTCCAATACTCCATTATCTCCTCTATTCCATTATCTCCACTATCCCATTATCTCCTCTACTCCCATTATCAACTTTGCTCAATATTTCCTTCCCTATACTTCTACTTATTCTTATGAATTTGCTTTTTTACCTGTGTTTTTTTTAAAGCTGTTTCTTGCGCACACTCCTGTAAAATCATCCACTAACTTCTGCAGTTTCTCTTCTGAATCTCCCAGTTGCACTGTATCATCAGCAAACATCAACAATGGCAACTTCAACTTTATAACACATTCATAAAATATTAATTCCACACGTCTGACTTTCGCTGTACAACCCAGATTATAAAGACACTAAATAACCACAGTGACATCAGACATCCTTGTCTAAAACTCATTTTTAATATAAAACCTCTTGTGCCTATTTTTTTCTTATTATTTATTAGGAGGACTAATGCTGAACCTCGTGTGTTTAGCTTCTGTTCGCTCATCGATAAAGAGTTTTGCAACCTCTTGGTAGCAGCAGCTGCAGGGCAGATTCGTACACCTGGGAAATAAATCCTGCCCCAGGAATAGAGGCCCTGAATCTGCACTCTCTCGAAAGGCGTAGAATTAGGGGGGATATGATCGAGGTGTATAAATGGAAAACAGGAATAAATAAAGGGGATGTAAATAGCGTGCTGAAAGTTTCCAGCCAAGACAGGGCTCGCAGCAATGGTTTCAAGTTGGAAAAATTCAGATTCAGGAAGGATATAGGAAAGCACTGGTTTGGTAATAGAGTTGTGGATGAGTGGAACAAACTCCCGAGTACAGTTATTCAGGCTAAAACGTTGTGTAGTTTTAAAAATAGGTTAGATAATTACGTGAGTGGGTGTGGGTGCGTGTGAGTTGGACCTGACTAGCTTGTGCTGCTGGGTCTGGTGCCGTGCTCCTTCCTTGAGTGGAGGTGACCAGATTGGGTGAGTCATTGGGCTTATCCGGGGGGTGGGTCATTGGGCTAACCCAGTGGGGGGCATGGACCTGCTCTGCATGGGTCAGTAGGCCTGTTGCAGTGTTCCTTCTTTATGTTATGTTCTTAAAAAAGTAGCTAATGTTTATTATAAAGTAACAATGGGTCTTAAACAAAGAAGCATAATGCGACTGTAATTATTTAATGTGTCTATAAGCTGGGTTGTAAAATAAGTGAATATTAGATTTTCTAGGATGTGGAGAAGCACAAACACATGTTATGAAGGTAAGCGAAGTACGGAAGACAAGAGACTGTACCTTTCATCATGGAGTTAAGAATCTTGACGATGGCTATGAGAGCTGTGCACAGGATGATGAGGGAGGCAATAAGGAGGATAATGCCTACTTGCGCGTCAGTTAACACTGTCTGGTAGAAGACGAAGTAGCAAGAGTTTGGAACACCCACTTTAACACATCCACTAGATGTTGCAGTATTTATGGAGGCCACCAGCGCTGTTGTGGCATTTGTTCCAGAAGTGGAGTGATCCATACACGCTTTCTTACAGAACCTCTTGACAAGTGAAGTCTCGTTAACCAACTCTCCTTGGTTTGTACTCCAGGCTGTCAGCACATCCTTGTCTAACTGTATAAAAATTTAGAGGTTCGTGAATATTCTTTGATGAACCATAAACTCACTCTAAATCGTGCTCATTTTAGTAGATACGGGGAAAACCCTCTACATAACGCTTTCATTCTGTAAATTAATCAGTTTCAATAGAACATTTTAATCATGAAAATCAAGTTACTTATAAAAGTCTCTTGTCTTTTTCCATATTAACAATGCTGAATCAGTTTACTTCGACATTTTTCTCCTTTATTTTGTCAATAAAAACGTCTAACATACCTGTATGATTAACTTAGTGAATGGATCTGTGATGACCTTCAGCATCTTTATCTCTCCGCCGCCTCTGACCCAAGCCAGGTCAGATACCATGGCTGTGGTTATCTTCTCTAAGAGTCCTGAATAATGGAGATAAATTGTATAAAATACCTGAACAAATACGAAGAGTATCGTAACATCCTCACATTGCTTGTAAGAACAACCTACCATCTTATATATATGCAGAATATAAATATTTTTGTAACTATTGTCAAACTTTTAGATGACTTCTTAACACTTTTTTCTCAGTACTTTTCATATTGAATATGATGTCTGATGCCTGGAAAAAATACAGCAATATCCCATTTTGTTTTATATATTCATTTCATAATAATTACATAGAAATATTTTAATTTAATTCAGATGACCTTCAGCATATGACCAAAGATTTTAATTTCTTCAGCAACTCTGGTTATATATATATTATATATATATATATATATATATATATATATATATATATATATATATATATATATATATATATATATATGTAAGTGGAGCATGAACCTTGCTTTGTTGAACTTAAAACTTGTTACAAGAACCCAAGGTGGGAATACTGGTGCTTACTGACTAGTAAAGAACCATGTTATGAGACAGTTTGTTTTATATTCACTTCCTGACTTGGTGTTATCTGTCTTATTTACCTGTAGTGACTTCAAGAATGAGAAGTGTGATGACTGAGAGCCAGTTGAACATGTCATGAACGGTGGCCCCAGCGAAGGCTCGCCTGAACTCGTTGCGTTCACCAATCTGATGATAGAAACATTTAAGATGAGGCAATGTACGAAATAAATAGTGAACACGTGTGATTATATAAGTAACACGGTATAACATACATCGTTATACAACGAAAATGAAAATATGGACAAAATAATTATAAATAAACATATCGAATACTGGACACAACTGAGAAATATACTTGTTGGGAGAAATTTACTTATCTCTTTGTACTCACATTGTTACTAGTACAATTTGATAAATACAAAAGACAAATACTCGCTTACGTATAGGCAGCAGGAAGTCCTTTCATATTCCAACGTACTACATGACACTGAGAAAAATGTACAGAGGTGTTAAACCCAGTCGGTTCCGGGGCTGAGAGACACGAGGTGTTAAACAAACTAGGGTAGATGAGCAACACCGCTGGAGGAGAGGAGAGATGGACACAACCGACAAGATAGTGAGTGGAATAGGCAGGATAGAAACACAAGACAAGGAGAAGAAGCTCTGGAGTGGCAATAGGAGGTGCAAGATGCAAATATTGCACTGCTGACTGTAGAGAAGGAAAGACAGGCAGCAGAACCAGCTTTGACAGGTTGTCCTGCAACCTATGCTGTCTTAAATACGAGTTACAGATAATAAGTGGAACTAATTTCCGAGTAGGCTCAATGAAACTCATAAAAAATAGACACAAGAGTGGAAATATCCAGTAGGCCTATTGAGAATCCGAATTTGTCTTATGTTTTTATATTTGATGTTCAACGGAGCAGATGGAAAAGACACAGAATTTAAATTACCAAATGAGCCGCAGGGAGAGACCTAATCAATGTGAAAATATTGAAGTAGAACGCGTTTTGGAGCCAGGTTCTGGAGGTAAAATCCACACATGGTTTCTAAATAATCCAGGACAGATTCCATGGGATTAGAATTAGGTAAGAAAGGCACAAATCAAATAGAATCAAGAGGTGGGAGCTGTGAGCTGGAATTAAACACTTGTAAGCATAAATAGGTGAATACAAATAGCGGAGAGGAGTCTAGTGATTCTGAAAAAAAGCTAAGTGAAGGTTCACAAATTTTTTAAGCGAAGTGTTAGAATGTCTGATCCCAGACAGGTAACCGCACACACAACGACGGCACCAACGACAACACTACAGTCACCATCACCAGCACTGCTACTGACCTGTGTGAGGGAGACGATAGTGTTGGTGACAGAGGTACCTATGTTGGATCCCATGATCATAGGAATGGCTGTGTGCACATCCAGTACTGTGGGAGAAAATGACAATCAATATAACGAACAATTCTGTACCGGAATAACAATACATACTTAATACACGTGGATAATGCCCTTTATATCAGATAAAAACTCGTGTTTACATATTTCCATTATATCACTATATAATTAGAGAGAGAGAGAGAGAGAGAGAGAGAGAGAGAGGAGACGCTTACTTTCAGCTGAGACCATGGAAACGATGATAGAGGTTGAGGTTGAGGAGGACTGAACAAGAACAGTGACCAGGATGCCGATCATCAACCCCACGATGGGGTTCTTCACGTACTGGTTATTCATCACGTCACCTGCAATGAAAGAACGCATTATATTCAATGAAAGAACACATATTCAATAAAAAAAAAACATATTAATGAAAGAACACCTGTGCCATTATATTAATGAAAGTGCCACCTGTGTGCACTTGCAACGCCACCTGTGGTACTAACATCATTTATTTTCCAAGAAGCGCTCAACCACTGTGGGTCAGTGAGAGTAAGGAATGGCGGAGCATCGAGTCTCCCTCCGTAAATTGCTGCTTGTTCTCTGACCTGCCAGGCTGTTGGTGACCGCCGGGAGCAACTGACATGATGACATCCTACTTAACAAAACACTGAGGTGCACTGCTACAAAGGTATGCTGCATAGGTTACGTAACCATGCTACATAGATATGCTACATAGGTATGCTACCTAAATATGCTACATAGGCATGGTACATAATACTTCCCAACTTGTTAATATGTAGAAATTTTTCCATTTGACTCGCATTCTAAGTTTTCCACAGCCGTACGATCCCTCATACGATCCCTCATCCTCCCTTTCACTATCATATCCCAACTCCCTACACTGCCCTTCTACTGTATAAAGTAAAAAAGAAAAATCTTAAGGTTTATGTTGAAGGAGGGAAGAGAGGAGAGAGAAGGATCTTCATTGGAAGAAAACACTTCATAAGATCTATTGTGGAGTATTGTAGCCACTCTTGTGTGGGAGTTTGTTGTTGTCAGGAAGTCAGGCAGGCGAACGTATCAGGCAGGCAGGCAGGCAGGCAGGCAGGCAGGCAGGCAGGCAGGCAGGCAGGCAGGCAGGCAGGCAGGCAGGCAGACAGGCAGGCAGGCAGGCAGGCAGACAGGCAGGCAGGCAGGCAGGCAGGCAGGCAGGCAGGCAGGCAGGCAGGCAGGCAGCAAGGCAGGCAGGCAGGCAGGCAGGCAGGCAGGCAGGCAGGCAGGCAGGCAGGCAGGCAGCAGGCAGGCAGGCAGGCAGGCAGACAGGAGCAGGCAGGCAGGAGGCAGGCAGGCAGGCAGGCAGGCAGACAGGCAGGCAGGCAGGCAGGCAGGCAGGCAGACAGGCAGGCAGGCAGGCAGGCAGGCAGACAGGCAGGCAGACAGGCAGGCAGGCAGGCAGGCAGGCAGGCAGGCAGGCAGGCAGGCAGGCAGACAGACAGGCAGGCAGGCAGGCAGGCAGACAGGCAGGCAGGCAGGCAGGCAGGCAGGCAGGCAGGCAGGCAGACAGACAGACAGGCAGGCAGGCAGGCAGGCAGGCAGGCAGGCAGGCAGGCAGGCAGGCAGGCAGACAGGCAGGCAGGCTAGCTGTCAGACGGACAAGGCGGGAGGCCTGCAGAAGGTGTGTAGACGCACTTACTCCCAAAGAGACACGAGAGAGAAGAGTTGACTCGGGTGACTGGCTCATTTAACAAGTGTTTTACTGGAGTTTTCGTGCCACGCTCTCCTTTATTTACACTCACAATGACAAGAGTAACGAGTGTGACAAGTTCAAGGGCTCTCTTCTTGACTTAAGACGAGTTTATAACTTAGCAAGAGGAAACCTCCAACGCAGCCCTTGTATCCAGAAAGCTCCAATAAAGGAAACCCCAACACAGCCCTTATAGAAATCAGGAAACCTAGCTCAGCCCATACAGAAACCAAGAAACCCAACACAGCCCCTATATAAACCAGGAAGCGATCACCTAAAATAACTCGATAAATTCAATTAATTAATACTAAAAATTATGAAAATAACAACAGCAGTAAAACCAAATGATTACTATCTAATTTTAATAAAAAAATGAACCAGCTTGAGTCATTTCTAAAATTTCGACGAATTAAGAAATATTTCCCTTCTTTTTAATCCACAAAAATTGACTAAGCTTGGGAGACAGTCGTTTTATTGTTGTACTGGTAAAGTACATCAAAGTACTATTTGTTGTGTTGTAAAGAATAACAGAGTATTGCGTTTATACATGGTGTATTGTGGAATACAGCCGTTGTATTATTTTAATTAATTTTTAGTATATTACATGGCTAGTCCACCAAATGTGAGTGAAAGTTCACTCACTGAGTCATCCAGGCAAGTGTGAGTGAAAGTTTAGGTTGCACTTGCTGTGAGTCATCCAGAGAAAGGCTGAGCGTTTTTCTAACCAAAAAGTAACAAGTACTTCGTACTCAGTTTGGGGCCGCTGAGGAACAGAGGACATCGCAAAAAAGAGTAGGTAAGTTTGGCATGGACACAAATTTAATGTGAAAAAATACACAATGAAATGAGGAAAATTTGAGAGGAATGGTCATCCAGGGAGGCATCATGAGGAACAGTCAATAACAGAGGGAGGCAGGTCTGGGAGGGATAGACACCTCATGCGAGGCGGTACAAGCCACCGTAGGGATAGGCACCTACTGAGAAGGTCGAGGTTTTCGTGAGGGCTAGACACCTGTTGAGGAGATAGAAGGTTTCGTGAGAGACAAACACTTACTGAAGAAGTAGAAGGATAAATATCTACCTTCTAAGGAGGTAGAGGGTATCGTGGGAACCAACTTTAAACAAAAATCCAATTTTCCATCCTATAAATATCGTATATTTCTTCCCCCTTCCTCCCTGGAATCGTATCCGCCTGATCAGTGATATGCACTCTTGATTACGCCGTTAAGACTCGATCAATGGCATGTTCACTCCCTAATATCGTCTATCAAAGGTCCTGCAGTACCAGCAGGAGTACCATCATCCGTGAACCAGACGATAAGCTCACTAAACAGTCTCTCTGTGACTTCCTTAATGACTAGACAGAAAAGTAAACAATTTAGGGGGGAGGGGTGTCACCTGCTTGACACTTTTAAAAGTTAACAAGATTAAAATCTTTGAGTCGCCGTTTATGGAGTGACCGGATGAACAGTAATGAAGATGGAATGCTTTATGTACGGCATCTATTGTGGCTGAACTAAATGCATTCGTAAAGTATCGCTTCATCAGGAGTTGTGGCTGTTTATGTTAGATTTATGTTAACTTTAACAAGCTTTAAAACACATAACATTACAGGGATCAGGTGAGGTAGATGTCAGTCAAAGCTTTGACAAAAATGGGGAAGAAGAAGAAAAAGGAGAGAAAGAATAAAAAGAAAGGAGACGAATCATGCAAATCTGTAGCTTGTTACCAGTAGAAAAACATACTTGTTAATGAGAACACCATCTGTGTTACTTGACCACTACCAGCTATGGTGCTGAAGGTCTGTTGTCTACGTTAATAGTGGCATCAGTAACAAAAAATGAAGTTTCAAAATGTCAATGCAGTTAAAAAAAAAAGACATACTAAGATATATTCAGTAAATGCGGAAATGATATATTCTATAAGATTTAAAATTATTTATAATTCCTTGTTTTACCTCAATTAAAATGTACTTTAATTATTGTATTTAAAGTATTGGTATTAATGATAATTTATCATGATGTAAGCTAGCCGGAAAACATTGTGGATAGTTAAGAGTCAGTGTGTACTGGAGCTCCCGGTTCAATACTCCTACACCTCAGGCTGCAGTGTAATGCTGTATGCCTATACACACCATCAGTATTTAATAAAATTACAAACCAGACAGGTGCAGAAAAAATGCTACAATTTTATATAATTTAACATGTATGGTTTATTTAAGTCTAAAAGTTTGCGAGAGAAAAGTAATTTTAACACAGTATATCTAAAGTGTGATGAATGGTTTGAAAAACCGACAAGTTGAAGATTGAGACACTTATGCAGCATATGGGAATCTTTATTCAGGAAACGTTTCGCCACACAGTGGCTTCATCAGTCCAATACAAAGAGGAAGGCGTAAGGAGAGGAGGAGTATGAGGTAATCAGTCCCTCGGCCTGGAATCGATGTGTTCAGTCCATCAGGCCTTCGACGCACTACTTCATACACAGAGTGGGCAAATCCATATTTCGATATCTTAGGTTAATATAATATTGTGAAACAATAACAAGGGTGAGTGAAAGTCGAATAAAGTTACCAAGAAGTCACAGAATACTAGCATAATATTACGCCTCTATAGCACTCCTTCCATAATCAAAATATCCCATCTTGGTTCCTAGATCATTCCTTCAGTAACCATCAAACTTCCTGCTCAACCTCTCATTCCCGTGTCGCCTTACTGGTGATCACTACAGTCCCTCACCAGACACCCCAGTATCCCAGTGTTACTATACAAGGATACACACGTAATGGCTGGTCACCTTAGGAATGTACAATAAAGATGGTAGGACGAGCCTACCTGTGCAAGGAGGGCCAGTCTGGCTGTACGTCTGCCCTCAGGTGTTCGTCGTGGCCTTCAGCGTTCTTCTTCGTGCACTTCTATATGTTTTCCCAGATTTTTTGTGTATCGCGCGAGAGGATTCACCTGGCCTTCGCCATATATTTTTTTTTAATTGTTGGACTTTTGCTGTTGCTACTTCTGTTGCTGCTGCTAACTTTGTTGTTGTTGCTGCCTCTGTTGCTGGTATTTTCTTTGTTGTTGCTGATACCTTTTTCCTGTTGCTGCTGTTGTCTCTGTTGCCACTGTTACTTCTGTTACTGCTTCTCTCTTTGTTGCTGCTGCAACCTGTGTTGCCGCTGCTACCTCTGTTGTTCTTGCGACTTTTGCTGCTTCTGCTACATTTGTTGTTGCTGCCTCTGTTGCCGTTACTTCGGTTGTTGCTGCTACCACCTCTGTTGCTGCTACTACCTCTGTTACTGTTGCTATCTCTGTTACTACAGCTACGTCTATTGCTGCTTCCCCAGTTGCTGCTGCTACTGCTGATTATTGCTGATGTTACCCCTGTTGTTGCTGCTGTTACTACCACCATCTCATTTTCTGTTACTCTAAACAAAAAAAACTCTCTCCGTTGATGTTACTGCCTCTCTAGTAGCAAGGTAACAAACAATCACGTATTATACATCATGTGAGAAACAGTCAAAGGCGAGGTGGTAGGATACGTGTTTTTGGCACTCACGGAGACCTGTCGTGAGTGTGAGATAACTATTAGTTTGCAAGATTGCAGGTGAGGCAAGTGGAGGTG